ACTCAATATAATAGCGATACATTTAAGGTATAAATATACTTGTCTAGTATTGTACAGTATATCTCAATACACTCTACAACATAACAAAGAGGTTGTGCTAAGACTTTCTGACTTTAATTCTCCTTTTCCTCTGACAATATTTATGTCATTAATCAATGTTTTGAGTATCGCTTAATTGAAAATTATTTTCTGAGAAATACATTAAATTTCAATTTCCAGATAAACTTGTATTCCTTGTGCCAAAAGTTTTCATTAATTTAATTATGATTTACTTAAAACAAAATATTTGATACTTATATCTTCAAAAAATCTTCCCAAATATTGAGTTTTCTGTTTTCTCTCTTCTCTGATGTTTATTAGACTTTTGGTTAAAAATAGAAAATGACATAAAATTAAAGAAATAATTATTTGTACTCCATTTAGAGTCCATTAAGCATACATATATTTTCCGTTTATTTATTTATCTTATATTTGCGCAATACTATTAATAAGTTTATAAATTTAAATAAATAATTAATAAAACTAAATAAATTATGTATCATTTGCGTAAACTTACTGAATATTAATATTTATATAATTATTTAATGTTAATTTTGAATAAATTATATGTTAATTTATATTATTAATTTTTATTTAATAAAGATTTACTGTAATAAGTTACTGTATTAAGTTATGTTTGGGATTATAGTATATATTTTATACTATATTTATTAGCAACTTTTGATTTGTTTCCAAATTTTAATTAAGCTATATTTATATTTTAAAACTTTGATTTAGTGACAAAATTTAAGTTTTAAATAGATTTTAATTAATATAATAATTACTGAATAAAAATTAAAATATCACAAATGAATGGTAGTGTTCTATTTAATTAACTATCACAAATCTCCACCATTTTGCAAATGTTTAACAAGATTATTTATAGTAGGAATAAAATTATAAATCAGATTTTTATAATTTGCAAATTAAGTTTTAAAATTTAAATTAATTTTATACTTTGGTTAATTAATGAATATAATATTATTTCTCCAAATTATTTAATAATTATTATATTCAAATAAATATCTAACTTTACTGTATATATTGAATCTCAGGTATGCTAAATATCGAATTAACTGTTTTATTTTAATTAACTATAGAATTTATTTATTATAATAATAATTTTTATATAGTAAAACGTGTATGTAAATAAAAATATAAATAATTTTTATTCAAAATTGGTACGAAATATAAATTTTAAATATGTTAACCAAGTGGTCCTATTATATATAAAATATATGATTTTATTAATAAAGTTTCAATAAGTGATAACTCATTTCTTGCCGTTCAGTAATTGTGTTTAAGATAATGGCAACCAATTATTATTATTATGTTATATAATGATTATGATTATGCTGTTCACCAATTTTACTGTTTTCATGACTTTAACCAGATTTACAACTTTTTTTAAATATAGAAAGTGAAGAAATTTTCCTAAATTTCATAAAAATATAGTTAACTCATAATATATATAACGCTATTCAAAATATGTTACTACATATAGTATAATTATACAGTATTGCATATAAATTAAATAAGTATCATATCTGTACAAACAAATGGTTTATTACAATTGTTATTAAAAAAACTTATATCAATTGTAACATGAAATTATAAAATTAATTAAATTTTAAAAATAATTTTTAATGATACAATTTCAATAAAAGAATCTAAAATTAAAATGTATCTAAAGTTTTTAGAGGAATTTGGAGGTATATCATGGATTATCTGTAAGAATGGTAAAATCGTAGCGTATAAATATATTTTTTATATAACATAAATATTTTACTGTTCAATATTCTGTACTGTATATGACTTATTGATTAAATAAATTTTATTATTTTCGATCAATTTACTAATTTGTTCATTTAACAAAAATAAGATTTATTAAGTAATTGGTTTTTTCTATCTAATTGTGTTATCAATATTAAAATATAATTAAATATTTTATTGGTTACTCAAATAAATATTACAATATTTGATATTAAAAATCTCTATTAACTAAATCTGAATTATTAAAAGATTTTAAAAAGGATAGTTTTGATAATTTTGAAAAATGTCAATAATTAAATTATTGAACAAATTGAGTTTATTAAAAATAATATTATAAAATTAAGTACAATTTTTTGGAAATGTAAACAAATTAAAATTATTTTAAAAATTAAGCAATGGAAAGGTATTAATTGATTGCTTATTGTAGAAGGAAGTATCGTAAGACTTGGTTATTAAGTATTTACCAAATATTTTTATTATTTGAATTTGAATAGATTTTGAAAACTAACATATCATACAAATAATTTATATAAACTAAAGAATTTACACTCATATTATTTACATTATAATAATCCAAATATATAAAATAAAACATCTATTTACTAGTTAAATGACATAAATTATATTCATAATTGTTTCTTTCTATGATTACAACACTTTTGTTTGAGATTTATCTAGGATATACAAAATATTAAATATAATAAATCATATGAAAATTATTATATTTATATTTTAAAACTATATTTTATTAAGATTTCAAATGATTGTCCAGAATAATACTACTTTTTATGAAAGCCTAGAATCTAGGCCCTAGATCTTTCTAATAAGCAAAGTTCATACAATTTTATTAATGTTAGAAATTCTTATAATAACTAAATGTTAAATTTGATTATTATAAGATAGAAGTACCAATGTGAAAATTTATGATAAATATAATAAAATTTGTTTCAATGTAAAACATATGAAATCCTCAGAAATTAAGAAATTGTTATGAAATGAATACTAAGCCTATTTGAATGAGTTATGTCTCATATGAAAGATCACATCTCATCTATAATTCTCAACAAAGATTCTTTCATTGATATAATCAGTATTATTTGGTATATGGATCCAATAATTGAGTTATTAACTGTAACTATGACATTAAATAAAATAAAAATAGTAAAATAATAAAATAGCACCAAGATGATCAGCGAGTTCAAACAATTGGATTAAATGAAACTTTCAAATATATCAACGACTTAAAACATTTTTCCAGATAAAAGATTAGTATTACCGATTCCACTCCATATCTAAATCTAATTTATATCAAAAATGATTTATAAGAAAATAATAATAACTAATACGTTAAAAAGGTTTCGTGAATACAGTACCCCTTTAAGAATGAATTGGAAAATTAAAATTTTTATTTATATAAAACTCATTGAAAAAGACTAAACAAAGAAATGTAGGCCTAATTTAAGTATCAAGTTTAGAATTGATTTCAAATAAATACTAGAATTTAAAAAGAGTTGTAGTCTAATGCTTACAACGAAAGAAATAGTCTATAATTAAGTGCATAAAAGGCTTCATTTCATTGAAGATAATACAGATTGAAAGCTCTAATGCAATGCTTTTTAATAGACAACGAATGAAATCTGATAACAAATGATTTGCATATTTGTATGAATATTGCTTTCGGAATAATTGGCTTAAAAACTCTTATTATTGTGAGTAAACTGAGCCGCAAATGGAGGGCACAATACATCTCTTAAATTGATATGCGATACATAACTGGTTGCAAAACTAATAATAATTTGATACCAAGACTCCTACTCTTTGAAGCCTCGGCAGTAAAAACTTTTTTGTTTGTTTCCATTTTCCAAATGAAAACTCAACTAATTTGCTGACAATTACAATGAAATATATATTATTAAAGTTATTAGTGTACTCTTGTATTTTTATATTTGAATATTATACCATATGCTAAGCATTCTTCATTCAAATTAAATCTATATTTATAGAAAATATATTTAAATCTAAATATTAATAATAACTTAGAATTTAACATTTTGGTTATATTTTAATTATAAATAATCGATAAAAATAATTAAAGACTAGAATAATGTAAATTTGTTTTACTGTTTATGTTAATATTATTAAGAAAATTATTTCAAGTTTTATAACACTGTCTGGCATAAGCCAATGATATTAAATCACTAAACATAACAAATAAAATAAATATATGAGTTTGAATTAACATGAATGATAAGTTTAATAGCAATTAGTATAACATATTGCTTAGCATATGTATTGTCAACGCTGTAAGACTGTGAGCCCTGCAGTGTTTTACAAACTTTTATGAACTATTAAATGTTCATTCAAGACATACAAGACAGCAATCATTAGGACTTTTAAAAGAAAAGATAAAAAAGTTTTCTTTCTTTGAAGTTAAGTTTGAGACAACTTTTGCGAGTGTTTCTGATTGTGAAGTGTTTAGCGATCAATGATTGGCTGTAATACATAATTGTCGGACAAATGTTTAACCTGTAATAACATCAAAGTTAGTCATTAATCAACAAAACATATAATCATTTCGCAAAACAGATTTGAAGAGCTGTTTGATAGAGAAAATAGTAAGACTTTGGTGTATGTGCGAGCCCTGAGAACTGGGAGCTGAGGGCTGACTATTGAGAGGTGAGAGCACAGGCGCAGCCATACTATGCCTCATACTATGCCACGGATGAGGCAAATGAAGAATCACTGAAGAGAATCAACTCTTGGCAGAGAGTGTGCGCACACGAGAAGTGCATTCAAATCCAAAACCAGATGAATAGGAATCGGAGAAAAAAGTGAATCATTCAGTAAGTGGTGCGGAGTGTGAAGTCGATGCCAATTGTGGTTTTGGCCACTTTTCTCACACTGTCTACCACTGCCATCATTGTCTCCAATGTTCTAAATGTTGCACTACTTGTCCACTACTTTTTTGGCCAAAAAACTCTTTGCAAATAACCATTAGTCCACTCAAAGAACATTTGTCTAGTGTTTCAATGTTTAACTGTTTAGCGTTGGAATCGCAAACAGATTCTTATTGTCATTGTTTAGCATTATTTAGTTGTGTTCATCTCATATGACATCACATTAAAGGCTTGGCTCACATCTAAACATGTAATATAGGGTCTAATTTGGCACTCAACTCAACCAAACCAATTGTTTTCCAAATCATTATATTATATTCACTTAATATCAAACTCTATTCGTGTGATTGTATCACTACTTAACTTTTAGTTCAATCAAACATTTGATTATTAGTCCAAAACCCGGTGTCAATCGGCGTTTAAAAGTATCACTAAAAAGTTTTGCTAAACTTTCTCGCAAATCAACTTTTGCAATGTTTTCATTGCTTTAATTTATTAAATTAAAAAACTTTGACAAAAGTCATCATCAGATATAACGTCAATTCATAGACAGTTTGTGTGCAATACTGTATTTAATTTATTAAGATGTCATCCCAATCACCTCATCATCGCGTGTCTACCCATCAGCAACACTATCACAACAACAGTCCGACCACAACATTGAGTGAAGACGACAGCAATTCAGAACCAAATGATCTCAGGACTAACCGTAAGTTAGACACACATTCCTACCACAATTCAGGCACTCATTCACTATTCCTACCATTCATTGCATTTATTGCTTACATTTTATAAATACTTTTCGCTTACAAATTGTTTACAAATTAGCGCATATTTACATAAATTAGTGTTAAATTTATTTTTAATACGATTACGAAACTGATTAAAGCTCTGAACCAAGAATTTTATAAATTAATATAAGTATATTGAGTCAAGAATACAGTAATTATTAGGTTTGTTATAAATGTAGAAAATTCGTAAATTGCTTGAAAATAGTAAATGGTTTTTGGTTTTTAACAAAATTCTTGTCAACTGTTGTCCAGCAGAGAAGATTCGTCATCACAGCGCCGCCACATTCCCGGGCTATCCCTTCTTCGGGACGGGTCAACACAATTCAGGGTCGATGCCATCGCAACACTCGCAGCACTCGTCGGGACAGCAATATGTGGCCACCAATGAGTGTCGTCTCATTGAATATCGTGGGGCTCGTATCGCAGCGTTTCTCAGTGCTAACAGATCCCAGTGCTCTGAATATCTATTATGTTTACCACAAGCTTTCGAGTTGTTTTTGAAACACTTGGTCGGAGGTCTTCACACAGTTTATACTAAACTCAAAGTAAGTCCTCAAACAATCACTCTTTTCAACAAAAGCCAATCATTATTTATGGGCCCAAACGCTCACTTCATTCACTTCTTAAACTAATACTCTATTCATTGATTCAATTGTTACTAAATTGCTAACTAATTATTAGATTACCTTTACTTCTACGCTATTTGTTTATATATTTATATTATCAGTACCATTGTAATTATAGTAGCATTTAATGTATTATTATCTTATGAAATTTTTAAGGTATGGCAAGTTTTATTTTGAACAAAATCAATTAATTTTATAACTTATTTAATATAAATGTTTTATATATTTGTGTAAATTTTTTATTATTCCATTTATTTAGAGAATTATGTAAAATATTTGCTCAAAATTGAAGAATAATTGCTTAATATATTAGGTCTGGAGAGAAATTCCAGGCAAATATTAATTACTTTCGATACGTCAGTAAAATGTTCACGAATCTATTTGTTTGAAAAACTAATTTGTTTGCCTCAAGTTATTTAATATTCACTAAAATGTTTTCTCACAAATTATATTAGGTTTACATTAAAATATATAATTCGGTTATGAATTGCTTTCTCGAAAAGATATATTTCTAGATTTAAACAAAAAAAAAAGAAGTTTTTATCCATATATTTATATAGGGGAAAAACTTATATATCGCATTAAACTTAATGAATGTTTATTTTTGTTGCTTATTGAGAATTATGCGTTTATTAGACAATATAACATAACATAAGTTTTAATAAGAATAAATAAATTAATAAAACTCTTTGTCATTATTTATAGCGTTTAGATATAGTGCCGATTGTATGCAATGTAGAACAGGTGCGAATCCTAAGAGGTTTGGGCGCTATTCAGCCGGGAGTCAACAGATGTAAATTGCTGTCAACTCAAGACTTTGATGTCCTATACAAAGACTGCACGACTGCCAGGTATGTCTGTCCACTTTTCATATGTTTATCACCTTTCGTAAGAACTTTATTGTCAACAATTATTCATTAACTCCAATTCATATGACTTTAGTATGAACTTATCATAGCATTATGTATGTTATATCATTGTTAGTGAATTTGATTTGAATATAAAATTATTTGATTTGATTTTTATTTAAGTTTATATATAAATTAATAAATGTCGACAAAAAGTATTAGTGTGCGTAAAAGTAAATATTTTTTGCTATAACTTCAAAGTGTTTGAAAACCGACGCATTTTATATGATAGACATGTTTTGATTGATTATAAGAATAACTCAATAAAACTAAAATATATAAATATAAATAATATAATGCTTTGAGCTTCACTATCTACCGTATAGAGCATAAGTATTATATACAGAATTAATATGAAACATATAAATATTACTGTGATACTTTATATTAAAACTATTTATAAGGTTTATTTCTAATTAATATAAGCAATGCTTTTATTTAAATCTGTTTAATGTTTTAAAAACATATTGTTAGATTTGATATGTTCGCATATCTTAGAACTGCTTCAAAATGTGATTACATTTTAAATTATATTTTAAATAATTTATTTATTATTGAGAAATTTTGTAGTTTATGCATTGAAACGAAATTAATTTTCTAAAAGTTAATAAACTTTTGACACTCTCTCAAGTGTCAAGATAATACTTGGTAACTTTGATAGAATTGTTTACAAATTTATAACTTTGAAAACATTTTGACAATTGAATACTTGAAACTTATATTTTTATTTTTCCTTCCATTCAATGGATTCTATTGAATGATTGAGACTTAATGAGGAATTGAGATAATATTGATAATTATATTTCATAACCACTTACTGGTGGCTAATAAACAATAAAATCTATATTAAAAGCAGTTTCAGTTTCATGTGTTGAAAATTCATAGCAAAATGAAAGCTAAGACCACATAATAAGTGATTGAAAACCTAACAAAACTACCCCTTGAGTGGAGTTGTTGTAATGATGTTAACACTTCAATAACCTGATATACTTCTTGCCAGTTATAGCCAGGACTGGCAAACATGGAAACGGCGCAAAAACTCGTATCGCACCAGTAGTGTAGTAGTGGCTCAACATTCACTAAATTGCTGTTTCCAAAGAGTTATTTTGTTACTCAACTCCACTTTCATTTTACTATAATCTGGTGTACACTACCTCTGATCTACTTTCCATTATATCATATCATATCGCATACAGTCTTGTGTTCAGACTTTGTGGGGTTCACTAAATAGTCGAAAGACTTATTCTTTGCAATACTATTCATATGAAGTACAATATATTCTGTACACAACGCTATGCTATAAAAGCGCTTTAAATATTGTTTTGCATCATATGCTTGATATTATAGATCAAAGTTTATCAGCATTTGTATTGTATTTGGTTTGGTTTGGCTGTTGTTGCAGATCGTGAGCCATTTTCTAGCGATCCGGCCATTATATCAATGGAAATAATGCTTAGTTTCATTAGCAATGATTGAATGCAATATTACATAATATATGGCCGACACTGAGATGTGTTGCAATCGCTTTGATATGTGAGTACCGGTTTTGAATGCAATCATAATTGCAGTGTTTGATATCCTTGTTGCAAATATGGAACTCCTACTACAAACTGTGAGCTATGCCCCCACTTTCACTGCCACCTCTCTTATACCCCACCACTGGTCCACTCATATATAACTTATATAACTTATACTCAGCAAACAAATTACACGAAATATTTGTGTTTTATCACAGATTAACATCTGCTTCTCAACAAATCTCTTTGATTTACATTCACTTAAAACTCCAAAACAAACGCTTTTTAATTGAAATGAGAATCGACTCATAATTTTCTCATAACTTTCTCGCAAAAAGCAAACTTTAATTTGTTTTCTGCAATAGTAAAAACAAATCACTTTTTGTTTGTCACTTTCGTTCACTCCTCTCCCTCTCCCTCTCTTCCCAAATGAAATATTTTCTCAATTTGTTATATCTCTCAGTAGTCATACCGGAGCGCACTGTAAGGCCAGTGAGATATCAAAGCGGAGCCTAAATTGACCGCAAAAAACAAGACGGAGTGTCACTAAAATGCAATACAAACAGTTTTGAAGTCAATTTAAATGGTTTTGATTTATATCTATTAATTAAAATGAAAATGAATTGAAATGAAATGAAACGAATGAATAAAAGCAATAAAAATATGTTTCAAAGTTAGGCATCATTTCCAAGGCCTAAAAGCTCATAGATTTATATGCATTGTATAGACTGTACCGGCATTTTTTGCGTTATGATCCCGACTCGCTAACGGCGATATCACTCCCCCTTTAGTTTTAAGGTGGAGTACAGGAGAGAGAGAGAGAGAGAGAGAGAGAGAGAGAGCCAAGTGTGGCATAGTTTGTCTGTAGTTTCAGTGATTCAATGTATTAGTTGTTTGAAAAGAATTTCCAATTAAATAAGAAATGAAGAAAAGAACTCAAAACTCGTTTCATTTCATTTCATTTGTTTTTAGTATTTTTTATTTCAAACTTCGTGTTCAGAGCTGACACTCTCACCCCTCCCCCATCACCACACTCTTCGGCCAACTCTGAGCCCCTCTCCGACTGACTGTTTGTTCCCTTTCCACCTCTCATACACTACTCGACTCCAGAATAAGTCAAAAATACGAGAAAACGAGAAAATATAAGTGAAATGAGAAATGAAAATATTTTGAGTTTTTGTTTTAATTGGCAGCTGTAGTACCATTGCTGTTGTGCCGGTACTGTAGTCCTGTCTTTAGTGAGTATTGAAAATAAATTGCATTCGTTTGCCTCATAAGTGGATTCAAGTCAAACAATAATCTCTAATATAATTCCAAAACTATAGATATTTGCAAAATAGTGAACTCCAGTCCAGTGCTCAGCCATGTCTATGTGTCTATGGGTGCGTTCCCCTGCTTTCCATTCCCTCCCTCCCTGTGCTCTATTAGATGTGGTGTAAAGTTTGCCATTTGTACGAAAGCTTTGTTAACATGGATTGCATTGTGTTGTGACCACAGTATGAATGTATGGCCTTATCTGCTCTAATCTGCTAATCGTATTCATCTCTTTCACATCGCATCACAAGTGCACTAAAATGTCATTTCCACTAAATTGACAAAAATTAACCCAATCTTTGCATAACATATTGCATACTGTGAGAATCGTTTTGCAATACACAGTCTATGCAATAGTGGAAGAAAAAAGTAGCAGGGTAACAGTACTCACTGCGTAAGGCTTTACGGCCAAACAGTGACAGCAGCGGAAAATGTAATAGATTTATGGGTTTCAAAGTGAGACAAAGAGAAACATAGATTAGAGATGCAGTCAAATAAGTGTTGCGATGAAAGTGAGAGTAAATGAGAGCAAAGGGAAAGAGAAAGCAATGCAACAAATGTTCTGACATTTGCTTCACTTGTGATTCTCATTGCTTTCCGCTTTGGTTTACAGCAGATCTGTGGCCGCAATCGATCCAAAGGCAGTCTCCATGCAATGCATTCAATGCCTTAACAACTCATACATACAATCACTTTCTGTGCACTGCTTTACACTCCAGCCGACTCTCAGCTATAAAAGTGGCTCTTTTTCTCTCTTTGCTTTCCTTTCGTCTCTTTATATCTCTTTCTCTCTCTTTCTCTCTCTTTCTCTGTATTCTCTGTAAGTCTGCATTCAATTCAACTATAGGTTCAGTTCTGTTGACGACTGCAATCGTATTTGCGCTATATAGCCATGTATATAGACATTCCCACATCCCATTCCACTACAATCACATACATTTCCATTTAACTCTTTATTCTATTCAATCGCCTACCTGTCCACCACCAATGGTCACCACTTTAGTTAAATCACTAAATTGAGTCCACATAGAATCAATTGTATGCAAATGAATGGCTAATTAGAAATCAATGAATCATTGACAATGATTATCCCATTTGTCTAATTGTTCAAAAGTCTCAAAAGTGTGAATCAATGCAAACAAACAAATTGGTAAATGTTTTGTTAAGAATGTGTCGATTCTGTGATATTGAATGTAAATGAATGGCATATCTATTGTCGATTGCATTAAAATCGTAATACAGTAATACTCATGAAGGGAATGGGATGTAGTTTATAGTGACAGCTGTTTCAATAGTGATAATGCAATTCCGACTTATGTTTGATTTTAAGCTTTTCTCTTGTTTTTATTGCACTTCTCATTGGCCTTACTTTCCTATTTGACTCATTATATTGAATGGCAATACTAGTGCACACATATCTGGCATTTCTTTGTTTCATTGCTCGACGACAGACACTAATTCTCGCTATCAGTGAAACCAATTGCTGTTGTATTACTCGATCCTAAGTATTAAAAACTATACGATTTGTTGTACAATAACACCGTTTTTAGATCAATCGGCAAAAGACTAACCGTTTGTCTAGTAGTACACATCCCGTCGCACTCGCACTGACACATCTCACACTCCATGTTATCATAAGTTATTTAATTCTCTTTGCACTCATGATTTGTTTGAATTTAATTATATTATGACATGTGTTGAGCAAAAAAGCAAATTAAATCAAGATTTGCCAAAACTCTGCTAATTTAAATGACAAAATATTGTTAATTTTGAATTTTCAATGTTTTAATTCTGTCAATCATATCCATAATTATTGAAATATTTGTTTTAATACTAAAAATAGTAAAACAAGAATAAGGAAAGTAAGGAAAGGAACTCTCAATTGGAGTGAAATAAAAGATAAATATTTGATAAAAATATAATTTGCCAGAAATGGATCGCATATACAGAAGCGTTCAAATCTTTATTATAATTCATTGAAAACAGAGATAATGTTGAAAATTGGGTCAAAAGTGAATAAAAGAGTAAGAAATGCATAGAAAATAGCAATCAATAAAGAGGTGGGGGGTCTGTGTCTAAAACGAGTTACAATATTATGTAAGTCTATGAGTCTATGGGTTGGGGTTTATCGATACATACAGTGAGTCTCGACGTCTTCTTCTTCTTTGGCAATACCTGTTGCCTGACTTCGGACAACAGCAGAGCACCCGCTGTGCCAACAACTCAGCCATTAATGGTTTGGTTACATATCGTTCACTAATATAGGGGAGGAATTGGGGCTATTGTATGGTGAATGGTATGGTGTGGTGTGGTATGGAGTGTTCAGTTGGGAACTAATGCATGGGTTCTCTCTTTGCTCTCTTCCCTCAGTCTCTCTCTCTCTCTCTCTCTCTCTCTCTCTCTCTTCCCTCAGTCTCTCTCTTCTCTCTTATTTTATTGGGAAATAAAAAATAAAAAATTGTAAAAAGAATTGTCTGTTAGTCTGTAGTAATAGTCATAGAGTAGTGGCGTTTGCGATAAGGGATCGCAATTGCGGTTTACATGAACACCACATCTGTCGCATGAAATACAATAATAAAATTGTAAAAATTTCTATTATTTCTATAAAATGCACAAAAGTGTAAAAAATATATACATTTTTAAAGCGTCTACTTTTGCCTTAAGGGAAGAATCACTACAATAGTTACAGATCTGTATAACTGAAAGAGAGAATAAGAAATATATTTTAAAGTTTTCGATATATTTAAACACATAATGTACACAATATAGAGTTATTTTATAGTATTTCAGATTTATTATAGTCTCACAAAAGTTTAATTTCCGTTTGTTGTCTAAAAGAAGCAACGAATGGTCTCGAGATAACAAATTGCTTCGCTTTTTATAATATCACTAAATATTAGTATTCCTAATATAAATGCTTTCAATTTGTTCTCATCCCCCTTCGTCTCTCTCTCTCTCTCTCTCTCTCTCTCTCTCTCTCTGCTCATTCATTTGGATTCTTTAGAGAATCTTTATTCAGAATTAAGTATAGGCTCCCCCTTATTGCTAGGACGTGACCGGGCAAATGATATGTGATTGGGCCCAACATATTTAAATCATTCCGGATCATACATGTATTTAAGCCATTCATCATAAATTCTAATCTGAAAATATTTTTCAGTTAAAACTTAAGCTCTTTTTAGGCAATCTATACTATGAGATGAGTCGCACATACAGTATAGTGAGCCATAATATAATAGATACAGAGATGGCATATAAGATCACATCCAACACATGCAACACTTGCCAACTGACTGTTGGTAATAATCTTTGTTTGCAAGTCATCACATTTGCATATTATATATTATAATATAATGTAATATAAAGTTTTGCCATTTATTGCCAAATTCTTATTTCTGGGACTCATTTAAATTATATTTGAGACAACACTATAACTGGTCATAAAAATGAATAAATCACTTCAACTATAATAATAGCTATAATAAGACTCCTTTTTGGATACAATCATAATTTGAATTGACTTTTGATATATTGTTTTATAGAGAATAAAAATGTATAATTTCAACAAAAAAAACACTATAATTTCATTCAATTCATACAATAGATTAAATTAATGTGATTTTCTTATGAGCAAAAAATTTAATATAAACTTAAAATACAAATAGTTTTGCAGACCATATATAAATTATTTTCAAATGAAAAATGTTTCGTTTCTTCTTTATTAAACTACAAAATGGATTTAGACTTTAAAAATACATTTTATTAAATTCATATCAAAACAAGCATTTAATAAATTATATGTTTTTTGTAGGTTTGTTTTGTAATATATGACTTTTGTTGCTAACAATAAACGCTTAAATTCTTATAACTCTCTACAACTTCATCCGGGAATTGAGAATTGAGTGGAAAGTGAGTGAATTTGTTTCTGAATGAGGGAGTGATTGTGTGTGTGTGTGTGTGTGTGTGTGTGTGTTAGTTTGTGTTTAGTCCGACTCATAAGCACACGACACACACACACACACACACACAATCACTCCCTCATTCAGAAACAAATTCACTCACTTTCCACTCAATTCTCAATTCCCGGATGAAGTTGTAGAGAGAGAGAGAGATTCTAAAGTTTTATATAAAAATAATGTATATATTAAAAGTTTATTTGTATATTTGTCATAAGTAATAATTTTACATAATTTACAAATTAATTAATAACTCATGAAATTGATTTTTATTTTGCATATAAAAAATTAACCTTTTGTCTTTAATTCTAAACATAATATACGGATAATATTTAATATTATGAAGTCGGAGGTTAGCAAATTTTTATTACCTTTAGTTTATTGCCATACCTCCCTCTTTGTCTACTAATTTCTTTCCAATTGCCAATTGATATCAGTATTTAGTATTTCTTATTAATTATTATATTAAAGACAAATCATAGCAAATATTATTTAATGACCGATCTAATACGGCATTAGCAAAAATATTAATTTGCAACATATATGAATTGAGGCTATGCTACTACTCTATATTTGTAACTACAATATATTCTCATACATTACAGTACTGTACAATGCATTACAATATAGTACAATAGCATTGTAGTATAAATGATAGAAATAAATATGATTCTGGTAATATTAGAGAATTAGAGAGTGAGTGCGAGAGAGAGAGAGAGAGAGAGAGAGAGAGAGCACAGGACTGGCTCTCTAATGGATGTATGTGTTGTGCGTCACATCCAAATACCACTCCCTTTTGTAAAGTAATAGTTAGCAGACATACGAGTTATTAGAGTATTATTGCCGAGAATTGGAGTCTTTGTTATTTTAATTAATTGACTCCAAACCCAAAATAATAATTTCTATTTTTTCATCACAAAAAAATGTATTTTTATTACTTCAAAGCAAATGAAATATTAGATAATTTGTCAGAAAACAACTATTTTATCACTGAATGTAATCAAAAAACTTTTGTAATGTCTCTACCCTTTTGAGTGATAATTCTATTGATTTGAATATGAAATGTCAGAAAATAAAATTCAATTCACTTTTAGTATAAATAAATTTTTATTTTATTGATTCGGCCATTAATTATAATACAAACTCTTTTCGTATAACAATAATAAAAGTTTAACATAACTTATATTTGTTTTTTGTTACATTGTGATAATCATATTTTGACACAAATTGTTTAATAAATTATTTTTATTATAGATATTGATATGTTATGTTATTATTAAAAAACGAATTAAATAATTTTTAAATTTGTTTTAATTATCATAATTTGCTGTGCAATGTTGTATAATTTATATCCTTTCATTTCTGGCAAACTTTGGCTATAATTTAAATAACAAAGTACTTTACTATTTAAATGAACTTTTATTAAACAGTTATATTACTGCAATAAATAGAAATGGCTAAACATTTCATATTATAATAGCAAATAAATTTTCTTTGTTTCTAATTATAATAATGGCTACTAATTGTATAAACTAATCAAATTCAAATAAAACATAATTTTAATTATGTATTGTATTAGTTTTATGTCACAACTCCTTTTGATGTCAATAAGAAAATCATATATGTATCAGAAATGTATAGCTTTTAAAATTTAAAATTGAGACAAAGGTTTAATAAAAGTTAGATTGTTTAACTTGAAGCAACTAATTTGTGTATACAATACACTTACAGATTATTCATAAAGTCAAAATATAACTAAAACTTAGTTTTTAGCTTGTATCTAAAGAAAATCATTCATTTGTTATATTTTAAAATAAGTTGGTATGGTATTAATTAATTTACGAGTCAAATTAATTTAAAATAAAATTATTTAAACTTTAAAACTATTCTAATTTAAGTCTAACTCTTAAATCGCCTTTTTGTACGTTAGAATCACTTCAAAGTATTTTTAAATAATAAAGTCTAAAAAAATAGATTAATTATAAACTGAGAAATAAATTATTTGTTTTAAACAAAACGTCTAAATAAAATGGTTATACAACCCATCGTTTGTATGGCTTAAACTTTAAGAAATGTTTGAAAATTCATTAATTTATTGCTAAGCCGTAGAGTTAAGTGACTCCGAGTTAAGACTTAATGATAGAGTAATGTTTTGAAGAAATGTTTGTACAGAAGAGTAGAATAGTTGACAAATATTTAGCTGAACTCCAGCCGAATGTGACATTCATTTTACGGTCAATTGAGTCAAAAGGAGATTAGTTTCTGTTGTGCGTCCTCTTTGACAGTCTTGTAAAGCGGTGTTTGTATGCTATGAATGGTAGCTCCGATTGTATAGCATATTATAGTACCAGTGCTTATGAGTCGGACTAAACACAAACTAACACAATATCCTGCTGTGAGCCCGTCTGCCAAACGGAATGGGGTCTTAAGAGCCAATTTCATCGCTACTTCTTTAAAGACATACATTTGATTGATATTTACTTACGGTAGCAATGATTAGAACCAATGATTATAAGGCAATAATTATGGAAATGATTTGAGTCTAAATTATATGTTATCCTAAATTTTCACCAATTATTGAATTGCAACTCAAATTCACAGATTATATACATTCAGACGTGTTATTCATATTGAATATTATGACTTTTGCTTTACATTCTAATATATGTAGACATACCTATCCCTCCAATTAGTTGACAAAGTGCTAAACGCTTACATAATCTTATTGGCTATTATATGATTTGATAGGCCGGGACGTCCACCCAAAAGAAGTTCAGTGACTGGTATTGTAAGCCCAGTGCCGGCATCTTTCACTGGAGGCACTCCACAACATAATGCGGTGCCATTCCTCGGATACCCAACAGCTAAAAAGCCCCGTTTCAGCGATGATACTGATTATGGCAGTGAAAGTAAGTGAACCCAACCATTAGGCATCACATTAGCCATTGCTTAACCATTGCTAAGGCCTTCAATTAGATCATCACTCCATGCATTGTATTCATTGTATGCTTCACTCAATCTTTCCGCTCCCACTCTCTATTGCCTGAACCATTGCCCGCAACAGTGCATTCCTATAAGTGTTTTACTTATACTTATAGTTTTACTTACTTTAAGTCATTTTCGAGAATCAAATAATGTTTTGTTTCCCAGATTTGGATCTAAAGCAACACAATTCAGTCAATACCAACACAAACGGCAACTCAACCGCTGCTACGGCCGCTGCTATGTTGGCCGCCAATGGATATTCGGCTGCCTTTCCCTTCTTACAGCACTTCAGTGGCGGATCCACTCCTACACCTCAACAACAGCAACAACTCGTGGCCGCTGCTGCAGCACTTGGCCTCCCTGGCCTCCCACCCAGGTATTCATTGCATTTATCATCAACCCATTCATTACCATGCTTATACATTGTGTGCCGATATTAGTACTGTATATTGTTTCTAACACACACTCTCTCCAACAAATAAGCAATGAATTTGAGTAAAAGTAAAATGAAAGTAAAAATAATGAAATGATAAAAGTTTTTTGAGTAGAGTATTGAAACACTTACAGAATTTGCACTTTAAATGTTTAAAGCGTTTTACTGAATGAATACAGTATTTATGATTTAGGCTTCGCTTTAATAAGTTTAGAGTTGTTTTTAATATATTTTTAAATAAAATTCAAAAATGATTGAAAAGCAAACGATTAGAAATATTTGAATAAGATTTGAATGCGATTTAAAGTGAAATGCAGTGTAAGTGTTAGTGAAAAGGCATTGAAATGCGGGTTATATTAATAAATATGAAAATTGAAATGTTTTTGATTTTTTGCAATAAACTAACACTTCTATGTATTTTGAGTTAATATTAATCGCATTCATTGGCACTCATTGCTGGCACTCATAAAATAAATATAGTTTTGAACGGTTTTAGGCAAACATAAGTGCAGTTGGATATTAAGAATGCTCACCACAAATATGAAATGAAAATATTTTGCATATTTAAGAGATGCAAGAGATGTGTGAGAGATGCTGTGCTGATGCTGGTACTGGTGCTCATTAGATTCAGAGTGCACTGTATGCCAGTGAGAGTGGAGAGAGAGAGAGAGAGAGAGAGAGAGGAGAGAGAGAGAGAGATGTGTGTGTGTGTGTGTGTGTGTAGGCTATGGTACGGTATGGTATGGTGTGGTATGGTATGAGAATGAGAGAAATGGTTTGATGGTGTGGTGGTGTTGGCTGTGCTGTAGTGATGCTGTAGTGAATGGTGTGCTCATTGAGCTCTCATTCTGGTCCTAATATGCAAAGTCATTAATCATTGTGTCTGTCGCGAAGTTGAGTTGAGTTTCACTAAAAACTTTTTTTGTTATCTCATTCAAACACTCGTTAATATAATTAAAAAGCAATGAAGAATTTTTTGCTCTTCCACTCAGTGCAACAAAATGTGCAAATCTTATCAATGAGTTGATTCAATTGTATTGCAAATGCTATCAAGACATGAAGACATATAGACTGGGAGCTCAGTAAGCGAACTGTCACTACACTGTTGTGGATCCGGTGCCACTTCTTTGTCAGTCCTCATAATTGATGATCACTTATATTGCATTATATGTTTGGAGTCATAGTTTTGAAATTACGATACATTTGCAAACAATACAAATAAACTTAACTAAACTGTATGTTTGTATGAATGCATCCCATTAGTAGACTCGCACTGATTACCATACAATATATAACCTATTCTTTACGCATAACTCACTCATAAGTATTAGCCGACACTTACAGAGTATTTCTCGAAATAATCCCAAACATAGTGTTTAAGGCCTTAAAGAAGTGCTATTTTGGAGTGAATATTAAGAGCATTTGTGTAATCAAAACGGATCGATAGAATTAAATTTCAAACCAACTCAACTCAAACTCACTTTTTTAGGTAAACTTAAGCTTAAGCTCATAGGAAACTGCAGTAAAATTTGAGTCAAAGTAGATCCGACTCATGAAAAGAGTACGCTTTATATTCATTCATTGATAAATATAACACAAAATGCAAAGATTATGCTATGATCTCAAAAAACTCAAACTCGAAATTTATTTCTCTCTTTCCCTCCCTGTCACTAGAGAATGATTAATTACTGGCTCTCTCTCTCTCTCTCTCTCTCTCTCTCTCTCTCTCAAACTAAATTTCAGTATAGCTCTCTTTACTCCATTCTCTCTCATTCTCTCATAGTGTGCCATTGCTCTCGTGTTCTAAACATTGGGTGTCGAACTCTCTCTCTCTCTCTCTCTCTCTCATATAAAAAGTATGCGTTAAAACCATCATCAATCATGCTGTCTGACTAAATTAACTACAGATCAACAAAACTTTTCTCGCAACCAATATTGTAATGTAGAGACAGTTCACTATTGAGAACTCGTATCCAACTCTACTCTCTCAACAACTTTTTGAAGTCATTCTTAACTTTTTTCAATTGTTTGTTTCCCTTATTCTGTATTCTGTACTAAATCTACAATTCTTTACTTCTTATTTGTCAGTTCTATAGCTTTCCAATGCATTATATTCTCAATATTTCCCAATTGTTATAGTTCTCTCATTTTCCATTATTTCTGAATAAGTTTCTTATAATTCATACTTTAAATCCATTTGATTTGTCTGACGAATGCATTTATTATGAATATTAATGATATAAAAGAATTAGGATTATTAATAAAATACTTCTCATTGATTATTATTTTGAGAATTTATAATGAGATCATAACATGTTAGTTATAAATGAAGTTAATTAAGATCTCTGATTAACTTAATGTTTTTGGATAAAGCATTAAAATAGTTGCCATTCTTGATATGTGGTACAAGTGATGCTTATCTGCAAATTGTCAAAAAACATTTGCACTTATTTTTAGCTATAAGAGAGTTACATATTATACTCATTTGTTAATTACAAACAAGTCGTGAAGTTCTTTAATAAAGTTGTTCTGTGCTTACAATCTGTCGGCAATTCTTTTCACACAAAAAACACTTGAATTCATAAATTAAAGTGGGATTGAGAAAATTAAATGAAAAAATTATTTTATTTTAGATTTTCAAACTCGAGTCCACCTCCGGCTATAGCCTCACATCACGGAAACAATGGGACCGCGGGGTCGGACAGCACTGGCGTCGGATCGGACTTTAACCCGACGGCCGCTTATTTATGGCTTCTGTCTCAACAATCGCAACAAATGCCAAACTCGGCCGCACTTAACCTCAGCTCTCGTAACGCCAGCGCCAACAGCGCCGGCAATAACGCCGTCACCAACACTAACGCTATTAACAGTAATAGTAATAATAATGCAAACAATAGCACCACTAATAACACCAATAATATGAGCGGAACTGTTCATAACAGTAATAATAATAACAACAATAATAACACTAATAATAATAACAATAATAAGATGAATGCAAACGACGACGACTCGACCGATGATGACGACGATGAGGACGACGTCGAGAGCAACAACAGCAGTAACCACAGCGACAATCCGGTCACCAGTTCCGGATTCAATGGTAGTTGCCATCAATTCTTGCGCCAATTCTTTGCCTATTCTTTGCCTATTCTTTGCCTATTCTTTGCCTATTCTTTGCCTATTCTTTGCCTATTCTTTGCCTATTCTTTGCCTATTCCTAACTTATGTGAAATATGGGTAATACGATAGGTATGGCCTGTGGAAGAGGGGGTGCGAGTGAGACGGCCAGCAATAGGAACAGTTCGACGACACCCCCGCACCCACACCCCCAGCAACAGCCACCCGAACACTGTTTGGAGACACTTCTCCGCAACATTGAGGGTCTGTTGGCCATCGCCGCACACAATGCACGGCAACAACAAAGCCAATTGCATCTGCAGAAAGGTATCCTTGTATTCAACATTTTCATTAACTATATATACATTCAACACCATTTGCATTCACACAACACATTCGCTAACAATTAAATAATTAATCAAAAAAAGATCAATATTTAATTTCATGCAATAAAAGTCTCTCGTTTTTTGTGGAAATATTTTTTTAGTTAATCAAGTCTTTGGTCGTCAATACAATTATTGCTACGACTATTAGCTCTAACCGTTGGGTTGAGTCACAACTAAATGAATTAACTGTTAAATTCCTGATATAAGTGGAGGTAAAAGAGAGAGAGAGAGAGAGAGAGAGAGAGAGAGAGAGAAAAGTAAAGTAATCTATGGAATAATTGTAGTGTTTTTGGCGTATAGTGTAGTGAATTGTGAATTTTGTATCCAATATTAGTTTCGTATACATTGAGTTCCACTTAATTTCGGTTTTAATTTTTTGAGTACATATACCGATATACAAGTTATTTAGTTTTAACACAACTCTTATCTCTATTTATTTGCATCAGTGCTCCACTCCATACAACACAGGCATAACTCCTTTTCAGAAAGTGAAGCCCGATTTACCCCTTTTGATGGCTAACTTCCCCTCTTTTGCATTGCTTTACAAACTCATTAAAACATTAAGCAATGCCCTAATACTAGTGCTATTAATGCCAGTTCAGTCTCTGTTGAAATGCGATAAAAACGCTTTTTATTTTTATAAAAAGAACCCAAAAATTACAGCTTTTGTAATTACAACCGTAAAATGTGCTTTCACTCCATTCCCTCCCTTCCCTCCCTTCACATTATCACTACCTCTCAATGGTCTCTCTCTATCTTTCTTTGGTCTCTCTCTCTCCAAAGCAAGGATTAAATTACTTTTTTCACGCATTTATGACTTTAATTCTCGGTATTTTAAAAATTAACTTCAACTTAAAAATTAACTCAATAATAATCAGTGCTTTGCATCCATTTTCTCCACTTTTTTCACTTGAATTTTTTCAAACAGTTATTAAAAGTTTTGAGATATAACTGAATATTCAGTTCATTCAAACTTTTCAAACCTTTTTTCTAAACAATCCTTTGAATCGTTGAATCTGATGCTTAATATAGTACTACACTATACTGTACTACTGTATACTACTGTAGATGTGACGATATTAGTTATGATGAGACCACTCTGTCTATCGGTCTGTCACTAAATCAACACATTAAATAAATTACTAATTAATATTTTTATTTTAATGTCAATACCATTGCATCAAATAAAGCAAATTCAAGATTGAGCTCAAATAAAAAGAGTTACTTTATTTTTAGCATTTAGAACATTGTTTTGTTTGAATTATCAATTTTAAGAAATATTATTATAAAAACATTCATTAGACAGACATTAATGAAAAACAAAGACTTCAGCGTTTGAGTGAAGTCATAAAAACTGTTTAATTTTGAATTTAGTATAAATTAAATTAGTTCTTAAAATGTATAAACAGTTTGAATGAAATGTGGGAAAGGAGTGCAAATATTAATCTCTTTGGTGCAGTAGTGCAGTGTATTATACGAGGGAAACAAAACTAACTCTTTTTGCTCTTTTGGATGCATAGCTGAACTGAGGGCTGAGCTGGCGGTTCAACTGGAAAGGGAACGGGAGATGAGAGAGCATTTGGAAAAACAATTGAATGAGGAACAAAAAATCCGAAGTAAGTGTAGAATTGATAAATGAATAGTGAATACAAACATAATATTAGTGTTGAATTGAATATAAAAACTCTTGTCTTTTGTTCACTGCTTTCAGTGTTATATCAAAAGAGATTTAAAAAAGAGCGCAGATTTCGTCGGAAACTGGAGCATGAATTGCATCAAAAGCATCAAAACCATCAAAACCCGCAACAGATAACTCAGAATAAGCAGCAAATCACTCAAAACACACAACAAGTATCACTCAAGTCGTCTCCGACTCCGCCGCCGACACAACCGCCACAACAGACGACCGAAACATTAGATTAAAACGAAATAAACATTTTTCCAGTTATTTATAAACAATAGTCTTTGCATAAAAATTTTATTTAACTTCCAGTGATTTGAGGTTAATTTTACTGAACGCCAAATATTACAAAACCCATAATAAGTATATCGACACAATTACATTACAATACATAACATTATAATTATTGACTTTTTTCACAATTACATGGATTTCCAAATAGATTGATGTAAAAGTTTAAGGTATTATCAAAACGACATATCACTGTTTGCTTCTGTGTTATAGCAATTACTTTGAATTTCTTGTTTTACTCAAACAGATTTGAAATGAACATTGAATGTAAAATATACTGTTTGTTAGTCTTAATAATATGTCAATATTAATGGTATTCAATATTGAATATAACAATTAAAAGTATAATAATACAAAATATGTTAAACAAACCTTTTTGTACAGTTTTATTGATTGAGAATCGTCTTAAAATAACATATTATTTCGGATGACTTATTCAATCGGAAAAAGTGATAAATTTGTATACAATATGAGTGTGAAATGTGTTGAAAAGTTTTGATTCGCAAACAAATGCATTCGGATTTTGTTGATTGAATGGATAGTTAGAAGTCTTTTGTATTCATTTCATTATATTATATTATCAACAGTAGAGAAGTATTTGACAATAAAAGCGTTTTTACATAAAATATTGATAGAGAAGAGGTGGAGGGAGAGGAAAGGCATAGTTAACCACAACACTAGGGTATAGAAGAGGGCAACAAATAGTAGGGAATTAAGCAAAAGGAAGGCAACATTGAAAAAGCAAAGGCTTATAGTGTGTTTAATTAATTAAACGACTGCTATTGTCATGAAATTAATTAAATTTGTGCTAAAAATGTTTTTTCTCTTCTCTCAATTCTTTGTTCAATTATTTTGTTTGGCCCCCATTTGACCCCCATTTGTGCAAATAAACATATTTTTGACAGCTTTGTTATAACTTGTCTTTTGTTTTTCCAACAATAACTCCAAAACTTATGTCATTGTTTAAAGTTATTCATTCGTCGTCTTTAGTCTCAACATTACAGTACAGATCACAACCGTTTCTGAACGCAAAAAAGTTTTGTTTTCCGCACAAAAGCTGTGCTCACAATAGTCTGTAGCGAAGAGCGGAGCAAAACTGCAAACTTTCAGCTCTCAATGCATGATCTCATTTACATTCATTTCAAACGTCAGATTAATTTTATATCTTTAACATTGCCTTTAATTACAGTGAATAGCGATTCACAAAATACTGTAAATGAAAGCAAAGAGAAAAGGATTGAAAGCATGAAATAGAAAGACAGAGAAAGAGTAGCGCTTTGTTTAGTGTCTCAAACATATGAAGGGATGAAACACTCGGCCTCTGATGCCAATCGACTCAATAAACTGAACAAAACTCTTCTCAACTCTATTCTACTCTAACATAAGCACACATTTGTGTAGACATTGAGAGAACATAAGATAAAACATATAAGACATACAATGGATGTAAAAATATTTGAAAGATATCTTGATTTTGATAGCAGTGCTAACACCTGGCCATAGAGACCGTACTTTTGGTGTTCGCACTTGTAATTTATCTGACTGTCTCTTTCGCATACAAATGATTGATTGCATTTATTGTATGTCTTTGTGGCTCTTTGTGGTGGCTTTGCCTTCATTTCTACTCTATATATACCGTATATATCGTACATATAGTCATAGTCTATATAATATAATATAACTTTATTTATCTCAAAGAATTGAGAGAATAAGAGCTCCAATAGAGTATTGCAGTATTGGGTGAGTGCGAGAGTGCCTGTGCCTCAGTGTCAGCCCATACTCTCTCTCCGCCGAGAGAGAGAGAGAGAGAGAGAGAGAGAGATGGTGTGAGAGTAGATATCACATAGCATTTATTTATTCAAGTTGACATTGATGGATTATGCAAAAAAGTAATTTATTGCCAGATTTTAAGAGAATCGCCAAACAGTCCTAACAACACACCAGTGCTGTTGAGTTGAGTTCACTTCTAATGCATTGCCTTTGCATTCAATATCTTTTCCCCACTTTTTATTTATTGTGAGATAACTTCCGTTTTCCGCTTTTGAACCATAGCTCAACCCATTCTAATGGTTACGAACACAACAGTTCTCATCGTTTTTTGCATCCATTTATGAAATTCAAGACAAAAGATGAACGAAACAAATCATCTCTAATACCATATAATATGCATATTATTATTATTATAGTATTATCGCTATTATATTATTTCCATTTTTAGTCATTACTATCATTACATTACATATACTTTCTGTTGTTTTTCAAAATTGAATCAAAAAATTATAAAACATTTTTTTATTCATGAAATTGATTCTCAATGTTATGTCTGTATTTGGTTTTGAATGGTTTAATAGAAAAAGACATTAACTCAATGAATGCATGCAAACGCATACATTGAACATTTGATTGATTTTTGAATAAAATAATTTCAAAATTGTTTGAAATTATGAATCGGATATAAATTTAATATTAATGCCAACATAATTGTGAGTCGGGCTTACAGTTAGCACTGGTAAGTGATTTGCTTATGGGGTTAGTGTTTGACTACAAATGTCATGTTTGTGTCAAAAGAGACAAAATATCTCTAATGTTATACACAGAGGCAGAAAAAGTGGAGTAAAGTGATCCACAAAACCATTTACTTGTTTGCCTCGCAATGCTCTACCAGTGCTGTGGCAGTGCTCTGGCAGTACAGTAGACTACCAGTGCTCGTATACTACCAGTGCTCGTATACACACGGGTTTAGTCCATATCAATCAAGTTGGCGAAGAGTAGTGTCAACGGTGAACAACAAAAGCACAAATTGCTTGCTCTGTAAGAGGCTGTGAGATGTCTGTCCTGTTTGCGCAACACTTGCCTAACAGTGTTGTGTCAGACGAGACCAACACTCGCTCTTCTCTGACCAGTTAGTCCTGTCTCTATGTGTGTACTACCAGTGCCACAGTACTCCCGGTGCTCTTATGACAGTGTGTTTCTCATAAAGCACACAAATCTTACGGTGCTATCAATTAGTTGAATAACAGCTCATAAGTTATATAGCGATCATGTTTGAGATGCGAAACAACATGCGTTTTGGTGATTGTGTCCAACACTTGACAAGTGTTTGGCTTTTTGTAGCGAAGAGACCAAAAGTGATTGAAATTGAGTCCAAATTATTCGCTTTAATGTGAGATAAGCTCACAATCGAGTCATTCATTGTTTTATTGCCACAGAGTTGGCAACAGATGGTCATTGGATGTCATGTCTGAGTGTTTGTAGCATAGGTTGAGCTTATCTTTTATTGATTATAACTTTTCAATATTTAGTCTTTCATTTGGAAAAATAGGCAAAACTGAGGCACTTGTATGAAAAGTGCAGTCATTTCTTTGATTTCAAGGGAGCGATAAAAATAGTGTGAATTACAGCAATAAAATTGTATAATAAATATTAATTTAGAATATAAGTGCACTTTTCTGCAGTTTATTTGCAGGCAATAGTAATGCAATACTTAATTTATTGAGCAATTTATTATTACCAGTGCTTGTAATTCAAGCATAAGTGCAAAACAATAAACGCCTTTTCACTCGACTTCAGTTCATTTGATCGCAAACTGCACTCCGAGTCGAGAGTCGACTTCTCCGGCAATTATGATCAGTCGATGCAATGCTATACATGTTATAACAGTTATGCTATCATCTCAACACACATTTCCATTCATTATCTCTTAGGCATCCCCTTGTTATTGGGCCTAAAACACTGAAACACCAAATATCTGACTAATTGCTATTTTTCACAAATCAATCTATTATTTTATATTATATACAATTATAACATAGGTATCTATTGTCGGGAATTGTAGGCATTGCTCATACCTCATACAGTTCCCATAGTGTGGTACATAGCATAGCATCAAGCTCAGTGATCTCACACCCAATTAATTGCTCAATCTATCACATGAGACCATCGGAACACCCAAACAAACGACTCAAACAATAAATACTTGTGTTTCTATGTCTAGTGAAAGAAGTCATTGAAGCAAATTATATGTTATTCTCTGTTCAACTATTTTCTTTGCTTTAAGCAACAAAACTATTTGAGTAATAAATGGATTTACTCGAGACTGCTTGACGACTCAGCCAATAAATACCATACCATACCATACCTACAAATTTTCACACAAACCCAAACTTACCCTCAATATCGGGATTTTCTTACAAATGTGTTTAAAGTGAGCCTCAGATCTGTGTTTAAATTGAGTTTATTTTGCTTTTGATACTCATGTGAAATGCAGTCACAATTCAATGCATTGAACCGAAAATATTGACAAAACATGCGAAACAAAAATCAAAATAAATCGGTTTTACTTATTTTAAACTACTTTAACTGCTTATCCAGCGATTTGCCTGCCGTTCCCCTCCTCTATCATATCTATCACCTTAATTGATGCATATTTTCTATTCGTGTTTAGTCACTAAAATCTCGTTAATTTTAATTATAACTCAAATTAAGGTGAAATAAAGATACAAATGTATGCTGACAACTAACCTAACCTTTTTGGTACAATTAAAAGTGTAGATGAAATGAAATACAAATATATATTAGTTTTGTCGCATATATGTGTTGACTGAAGGCTTAGAAATTGTTTTGTTGGTTCAATTGATTCGTAGAAATTGAGACAAAGAGATGAACAATAGTGTGGGGGATGTGACCATAAGCCCCGGCACAACCATAACGATGACTGATAGTATTGATCCAATTATTTGATTTTCTCTCTTTTGAAGTTTTTTGATAAATCGTTTTCAATTACATAAAGATTTTTGTGAATTCATATGCAATATATAAAAAAAGTCGTTCAAAACATTGTCTTTTCTGATAGACTACACAAAGAATTGAATTCTTTCAACGTTTTTAAAGCGCTATTCGTTTTACATTTATTTCAAGCGATCTTATCATTTGAAAACTTATTATTATTTTT